GATCGCCTGCTGTGAGCTTTTGTGAGCAAAGAGGTACAGTTTCAAGATTTCGTCTTGAAAGAAATTTACCTGCTCTGGGAGCCTGGCATGAAAAACAAGACTAGTCATCAAATAAGCTGCAGGTAAAGGCAATGTTAGCAGAAGATGCTTATTTGCAAATCTCACTAACCACTCCAAAAATCAAACAAAGCACACTAGGTCATAGTGTGCTGGGTAAAAGAGGGACGTCGCAGTAAGGCGCAAGGAGCCTGGTTTGTTTCAGCTTAGTATTTTGTGTGAACTTAGGCTCTCGTGTATTGTGGTTTATGATTTTGTTTACAGTATGTATTTGTATAGTCAAGGCCATGGTTTTCCCCGTTGCAATGTATGGCTGTGAAAGTTGGACCATAAGAAAGGCTGAGTGACAAAGAATTGAGACCTTTGAACTGTGGTGCCGGAGAAGACTCCTGCGAGTCCCCTGGACTGCAAGGCGATCAAACCAATCAGTCCTAGAGGAGATCAACCCCGACTGCTCTTTAGAAGGCCAGATCCTGAAGTTGAAACTCAAGTACTTTGGCCAGCTAGTGAGAAGGAAGGACTCACTGGAGAAGGGCCTAAGGCTGGGAAAGATGGAGGGCAAGAGAAGAAGGGGACGACGGAGAATGAGGTGGCTGGATGGAGTCACTGAAGCAGGAGGCGTGGGTTTAAATGGACTCCAAAAGATGGTAGATGACAGGAAAGCCTGGAGGAACGTTGTCCATCAGGTCGTGATGGGTCAGACACAACTTTGCAACTAACAACAACAATGCATTTGTAATATTGGTAACTCAACCAGGATTTGGGTCAGTGAGCAATAAATACAGTTACGGATGCTTAAGCTGATTTCCCACAATCTGAGGTGCTGAGCTGCAGTTCTAGATGAATTGGTACTGATCCTGAACTGTGTCTTTTTAAGATGAGGTAGACTTCCTGCAGAAGAATGGACAACTCACCATGGACAACTCATCATCGACAACTGGCTGTGAAACAGCAAGCTGCAGGACAATTTAACAATTCAATTTAACTATTTAAAATAAATTTTAAAAAATTATTTTAGTTTCTGTCGCTCACATTTCATTTTGTCCTCCTTTTTGCCTCCTTTCTTTAATTCCACCATTTTAAATATATATATATATTAGTGTAACTCTTATCCCACAGTGAGTTATCCCATGGTGACTTGGCCATAGTGATTTAGCCATGCAAGTTGTTATCGACCCTCCTGTAGCCAGTAAATGCTTACAAGCATCTCAGTTGTAAGTCCTAAGACTGATAATCACCTGTATCCTAAGTCCAGTGTTCTATTTTCCCTGGATTTGGACAAACACAAACGAATCCAGAGCTTTGCAACATCACCGCAGAAACATCTGGAATGGCTGACAGTAAAAATTATACTATTTTTGAAGGTAAGATAGTGATCACCTAAAAAGCCATCACTGACATACATTATCTAGCGTGGGGTTTGTAATGAACAATTGCTGAGATATTACTGTTAAGCCAATTAAGAATATTAGTAGTCTGTTTCACTAAGGACAGGCATTCATCTACTATCTTCCCTCTCTTCCTCCCCCCCCCCAAAAGCAAATTTGCCAGAAACAGGCAGTTTAGAATTTATGCTGATAATGATTGTTGCATGGTCCATTAGGAGCACCTCTAAGTGAGCTTAATTTGTAGCAGACAAATGTACATGTCGCCCATGTTTTTCAACATTGTTTATGGTGCATCCTGAACAGCTGTGCCCGGTTGATTATATCCTCACAAAATTTAAATAGGAAACCCATTACATTGACACTATTATAACCATCCATCATGGCTACATTTCTCATTTAACTCTTTAAACTTTGTGGCGTGCATATATGTGTGCATAGAAGGCTATTGATATCTACATTACTGGCGTACTGATCAACCTTTGCAAAAGTTGTCAAAAGGGGTATTCTTTTTGATGTTGCACATTCTCACGGCTGCTAGATTGGTATACGCTCAAAACTGGAGGAATAAAGGAATTCCAACAGAAGAAGAGATTTTATATAAAAATTTATCATGTGCTGAAATGGAAAGGCTCACAATGGAAATGAAGGATAAGACAGAATCAGACTACTTTGAAATCTGGGACAAATTCTATTACTGGTATGAATTAAGGAGAACTGCTCAGGCTTCAAGCTAGTGTTAAGACAGAAATACATATATCTGTATATATCATTGTATTGTATAGAAGAATAAGCTTATTTAGAGATTAAGAATGATGTATTAATTACATGTATGAAGAGGAAGAAATTGTTAGGAATATTTTTTCTGGAATGTCACGTTATGTCCATTTTTGTTTTAAGTGTATTATAAATAAAAAAAACTTTTTAAAAAAAGTTGTCAGGAAGTACTGTACTGAGGTTTGGCTTTTGCAGGAAAGAAAAGGAACATAGAACATAAAATAATAGAATTGGAAAGGACCATGGAGGTCTTCTAGTCCAACTCTCTGCTCAAGCGGGAGGCCCTATACCAGTGATGGAGAACCTTTTAGAGACCGGGTGCCCAAAAACTGGCCCCGCCCCTGCTCCACCCCCTGCCCTGCCCCTGCCCCACTCCCTGCCCTGCCCCTGCTCCACCCCATCCTGCCTGCCCGCAGGGTCACTCACCGCCTCCAGGGCCCGCCGCAGATCGCCCAGGCAGCCCAGCAGCGCTATGGTGGCCACACCCTCTGCCCGCACCCTGCAGCATCAACTGCATGACGGGGTATGAGGGTAGAGTCTTGTCTACGCTGCCTGGCTGCCATGTCCATGGCTGCGCTGCTCCATGTGGGCCACGCTCAGGGGTGACTCTTCTTCAGGGAGGCTGTTGGTGAGGAGGGGGTCGTGGACAGAGGCAAGGCTGGGGCAACAGCATGTGTGCCCACAGAGAGGGCTCTGAGTGCCGCCTCTGGCACCCGTGCCATAGGTTCACCACCACTGCCCTATACCCTTTCAGACAAATGGTTGTCCAGTCTCTTTTTGAAAGCCTCCAGTCATGGAGCACCCCCAGCTTCTGAAGGCGAGCTATTCCGTTGATTGATTGCTTTCACCATTAGGAATTTTCTTCTTAGTTCTAAGTTGCTTCCCTTGTTGGTTAATTTTCATCCATTGTTCCTTGTCTTGCCATCTGGTCCTTTGGAAAATAGTTTGACTCCCTCATTTTTGTAGGAGCCCCTGAAATATTGGAACATTGCTATCATGTCTCCTCTAGTCCTTCTTTTCATTAGACTAGACATACCCAATTCCTATAACTAGTCTTCGTAGGTTTGATCATTTTTGTTGGTCTTCTCTTCACTCTTTATAGCATTTCAACATCTTTTTTATACCATGGTGACCAGAACTGAATGCAGTATTCCAAGTGTGGCATTGTAACACAGCACTAGAACTTCACAGGATTCGATCCCTCTGTTAATGCAGCCTAGGATTGCATTGGTTCTTTTGGCTGCTGCCACACACTGTTGGCTCATATTTAGGTGATTGTCCACGAAGACTCCAAGATCCCTCTCACTTTATGAATTTTATGGCATCTTAAGGACTGATCAATTTGATGACCACATCGTCACTCTCCACCAAAGCTTGTGCAATAATAAAGTTGGTAACCGTTAAGATGTCAGAAAACATTTTGCTTTTTCCTGTTCAACCATGAATATTATTGGATAGCCTTGGAACAATTATTATTTTCCAGCCAGCCTTGAGTTCCTTAGAGGATGGTCAGAGCATAATTGTGATTAATAATCACAATGTGGACAATAAATTCCTTGGTGTTATAATTGGTTATGCATGCAAATTTCATAACAATATTAATCTCAGTCAAGGTCATTATTAGTCATGAGTTAATAGATGAAAGAACTCTGCAACGGTAGGTTAAGAAGAAAACTTTGCTAAATCATTCATAGAGTATTCTCCCTTATTGCACATAATATTGGTATGTGCAACATATTGATAAACTATTGCAAAAAAAGCAATTTATCGTGATATTTTCCCGCACTGTTTATTGATCTGTATTTGGGTCCCTGGCGTTAAAATACTCCTGCAAAAGAGACAGAGATATTTATCTACAAAAATGTAACGCAGTTCGTTCACGTGGCACATCAGTGATCCAATGGACAAAAGCAATTTGTTCAATCATAAGATTTTTGTCTGTGGTGTAACAATAGTACATCGCACAAAAGAAATAATAATGTGGTCACAGGCAGAAAAGCATCTTTTATTGCTGTGCAAGTATAACATTAAGGATGTATGGAAATGAATAGAAGAAAATGTTTAAAGATGGAGCATATTTCAGATCAGGAAAAATTTTAGAATTTACGCTGTTCAGTTGGAAATCAGAGAAACTGGGCAGAAGCAACTGAAAAGAACAAGGAAAGAACAGAATGGGATAAATTTACTTATTCCCCAGCAATGTTTTCTGAATTTGAGCCCAAAATTTTGAGCCCAAAATTTCAGTTGCTAAGCGAGATTTGCCCCATTTCACAAACTTTCTTGCCACACTTGTTAAGGGAGTCGCTGCGATTGTTAAGTTAGCAACACGGTTGTTAAGTGAATCCGGCTTCCCCATTGACTTTGCTTGACAGTTGGTTGCAAAAGGGGATCACATGACCCCACGACAGTGCAGCCGTCATAAATATGCGTCAGTTGCCAAGCGTCTGCATTTTGATCACGTGACCGTGGGATGCTGCAGTGGTCATAAGTGTGAAAAATGGTCATAGGTCACTTTTTTCAGTGCTGTTGTAACTTTGAATGGTCCCTAAATGAACTTTTGTAAGATTACCTGTATAGGTAATCTAACGGACAGCCTGGAAATCTAGGGCTTTGTCCGGTTTCACGCAAGGCGATCAAGGCTTATGTCAAAATTCTCGCCGTTTTTATGGTTCTCTTTGGAAAGCAATTGCAATAGTTCATTTAGTGAACTGTTTTCTCTAATTAGAGAGAAATTAGAGAACGTTGGTCAGCCTTAACTGACAACATTGCCTTTTCTTTCAGGAAAAGTGAATTATGCACTCTGGCTCATTCAGGCTCAAATGGAAGGGATAGTTTGATTCATCAATCAACCAAGAAAAATCCTGTGTAGCAGCCTAGATTATAAGGTAAACTGGGTAATTGAAAAAAAAAGGGGGGGGGGGAACAACAACAATGGTTATTCTGTTCTCCCTCTTTGGAGCAAGCAACGGAAAGTCAATAGAGAATACATTTTCCTGAAAGCTCAAGAGATATTATTAAAGAGCTGATTAAGCCACTGAGCTTCTGGGTGGCTTACCTGCTTTGTTGACTGCAGCTAAGAACCCCCACGGAACAATTAAGCTTAATTGAAATTATCTTGATTGATTAGGGGGGGTAAAAAAAATCTGCCTATGAGAAGCACCAGTGAGCCAGCTGATGTCCGTACGGACATTTGATATTTCATAGGCTGAGTCAGGTCTGTTGATTAGAGACCTATCCATAGAAGGGGAAATATAGCTCAACCTGCTCTAAATTAATCTTTAGAAGCCTTGTGGAAGAATCCCAGAGAATTGGATGCAAACACAACCCAGCAAAAGACCTATCAAGCTTGATGGAAAAATAATTTGTGTGGTAGAAGAGTGCCTGTGTGTTATTGCATCCTATAGGGACTGTTACAAAGAGGATAGACTTTCAGAATTCTTCTCCTTCTCCTTCTCCTTCTCCTTCTCCTTCCATGTCAAGATCAAACTTTAAACTGCCAGAATGTAGCCACCTAGTTGGATTTGTTGTTGGCCACAAATAAGTCATTATCAGTACATATTTTTGATAGTTATTTGGTAGTATTATTGCATTCTATAGAAATTGTTAGAAAGAGGACTAATTTTCAGAATGTTAGTGTAGGAAATGACCAGGCTGGATCTCAGGGCAGGGTCAAATGCATCATCAGCATTGAGTCCTTTTGTGCCCACAAGAGATCTAAGTCCAGCCCACCTCGAACTCCATTGACTTTTATCTACTGCCAATTTGCTTTGACCATAAGCAGAAGCTTGCAATAAGCCTTTATATTCATTTGAACTGCCTTATAGTCTCAGTACTTCAAGCGGGTGACACAAAATGTGGTTGATCACTTCATTGTGAAAGGCTTAAAATGCATACGTCCATTTGGAAGTTAGATGACTTCTGGAAAACATGGAATGGGCTACTGTAAGGTTGGAACTGCCTAGCTTGGAGTTAGTTAATAGTGACAAATGTTTTGTTCACCTGTACAACATACCTGGAGGAAAGATTGGTTGGCATAGTTGTGAAAACCTTTCATGCTCTTCAGAGATGAAGTCCACCTTCCTGTATCTCCTTACATTAAGATTAGGCTATCTGAGAATCAAGTCCCAATTTTGCAACTGACAGAGCACTCTCAATTTGGCCTTCTGAAATTCTGAAGCAGGTTGTCCACCCTTTCTTAAGCTCCAAAGAATGCACAAATAGCTGGCAGTGTTATGCAGTCCTTGAAGTCCCTTGCCTACCAAATATTGTGAAAATTAAAACAAAGGTGTAGCTCAACTGACAAAAAAGGTGTTCGCTCAGCCTTAAATTCTATCCTTTGAACATCTTTATGATGTTGTACGACAGGGGTTGTATAACCAGCCAGGACAAGTTATATATGCAATCAACAAATAACTATTTATTCTACTGGTCACGAATTGTGCAAATAGTGAATTTGTTCCTTGTTGAATCCCTTTGGAGTCATTAGAAGTGAATTGTCCTTGTTAATTGCCACAGTGAGTTGCTTTGGGGCTGAAATCCTTAGAAGAGTGATGTTCAGATCTTGCTCATAAAACCCTTGTTTTCACCCCTCCTTTTGAAAAAAAAACCCACAAATGTGTGACATGTTATGATAAATATTCACCGGGGTTAAATTGCCTTATTGATTTTTTTTTTGTAATTAGGTTTTAATGAATTGCGGTCACTCATCTGTGGATTTGTCAGGAGATTTTAAAGATCAGATTGCAATCATTTTGTGCACTTAATTTCTCCTCCACACACACTTTATGCTTTTAGTAACAGAAAGCTGGTTATTATATAATCACACAGAATCGTACTATTATAGAATTTTAGGATTGGAAGGAACCAGGGAGATCCTCTAGGACAGAGGTAGGCAACCTTGGCTATTTTATGACTCGTGGACTTCAACTCCCAGAATTCCTGAGCCAGCCATGCTGAGGGGACAGGGAGAGGTTTCCAAGCTGAGCCACGCTGGCTCAGGAATTCTGGCAGTTGAAGTCCACGAGTCTTAAGAGAGTCAAGGTTGCCTACCCCTGAAGTAAGTATACCAAGTTGGGATACAGGATATTTCAAACTCAAAACTACTTTGCAAAAGGTAGTCACTGCAAGAGGGCTATTTCCTAGTGTTCCTGTTTTAGAAAAAGACCTCAAAGAAACTTTGACTGTGGTGAGAATTCTATTATAAGGTTGGAACAGAGCATTTGAATGTTTAAGATTCAGACACAACCCAGCCATTACTGATAGAGTTGTTGTTGTTCGTCCATTGATTTTTGATGAAGACCTTGACATCTTGTGGGTTATGGGCCATCAACGATGTGTCCGTAGGTGGCTAATAAGACCGATGTTAGCATGGAATGTTCTGCCACATACTGAACAAAGAAATGTAGACACTATTACTTCAGCATTTGCAGCTCTGGCTTTGCGGAGTGCTCGCTTTTCTTGTGCCAAGATTGTCCTCCTGTGTTCATATGTCTGGCAGCCCTGGTACACCAAGGTGTGCCATGTCAGTTGATCATGCACCAGAAGTTCTCAGGAGTTGGTGTTAATATCCAGGGACTTAAGAGAAGCTTTCAATGTGTCTTTGTATCGCTTCTTTTGTCCCCCGTGTGATCGCTTTCCTTGAGACAGCTCACCATAGAAGAGCTGTTTAGGGATGCGATGATCTGGCATCCTTACAACATGGCCTGCCCAGCGTATCTGGGCTTTCATCAACAGAGTGTAAACTGATGATAGGCCTGCTCTGGAGAGGACATCTGTGTCCGGTATCTTATCCTGCCACCGGATCCTCAGAATTCTACGAAGGCAGGTCATGTGGACCCTATCATACACTGATAGAGTATTTGTAGCTCAGAGTTGAACTGTGGGGTCCTTGGTGCTGTCCAGCCTTGTTGGCTTTCTTGCAGATATTTCATTACCCAACTAGGTAACAGTGTTGGCACTGACGATATTACCTAGTTTGGTAATGAAACGTTTGCAAGAAAAGCTCTAAGCTCAGAGATCCACCAACCCCATAGCCATTTTAAGGGTGCTCCCTTGTTTCAAACTTGGAGCAGGAACATGTTTCTCATTTCATCTCCAACTACCAATAAAGACAACACACACTGCATCACATAAGGGGCACTTACCTTGGCTCTTTTATGACTTGTGGACTTCAACTCCCAGAATTCCTGAGCCAGCCGTGCTGAAGGGAAAGGGAAAGGTTTCCAAGCTGAGCCATGCTGGCTCAGGAATTCTGGGAGCTGAAGTCCACGAGTCGCCAAGGTTGCCTATCGCTGCTCTAGGACAATTTAACCAGGACAGAAATTCTTTGACCAGCAGGAATCCTCAATAAATGTTTGTCTAACTTTTTTTCTGAAAGCCTCCAATGATGGACACCCACAGTCCCACAAGGCAGGCACTTCCAATGCTTAATAACATTGAACATAGAATAATAAGGCTGGCAGGGATGCCAGAGGTCTTTTAGTCCACCCCCCTGCTCAAGGAGGAGACCATATGCCATCCCAGTCAAATGGTTGTCCAGACTACTTTTGAAAAGCTTCCACTATTAATTCTTGCCATCTTTGTCCCCTACAAAGAATAAATCCAGACCTCTTCTCCATGATAGTTCTTCATTGTAAGACTGCTATTATGTCTCCTTGAACTTCTCTTCTTTAGGCTAAACATGTCCTCTTCTTTTCATTATTCTTCATATAACTTATCCTCCGAGCTTCTCCCCATCGTTTGTGTTTTTTCTTTGACTTCTTCTGGTCTTCTTCCAATATCCTTGTTGTCTTGTGGCAACTGAACTAAAATTGGACATAATATTCCATCTGAAGTCTGACTGTGCAGTTTAGGATGAATCACTTGCTGTGATGTTGACAATAGGCCACCAACGATTTAGTCTCCAGAAACAGTCCCACTGACCAGGGTTGCACCATCTTGTATTCCATTTTAGGCAAGAGAAACTCTTGGGCCAGACCACAAGAGGGAATCATGAGAACTTAGATTTCCAAAAGAAAACCAGCAACTAGACAAAGAAACATATAGTGGTTGGCAAATTTTTTAACAGAATAACAGAGTTAGAAGGGATCTTGGAGGTCTTCTAGTTGTTCAGGCAGGAAATCTTATACCATTTTTGACAAATGGCTGTCCAATCTCTTCTTAAAAATCTCCAGAGCTGGAGCACCCACAACTTCTTTGGCTGCTTCACGTTTTCAAAACACGAACCCTGAACCAGACCGACAGCACGTAAGTGTCAAGATGAAGCCATGTTGTCTTAGTTTGGATGAAACAAGACACAACTGGTATTTCATTCTCTTCATTTTCTTGGCACCTTTTCTCTCTAGGGTTTGGAAGCAACACATAAAACAATTCACTTTTTGGAACATCACCTCAGAGTCAATAGGCACGGGAAGATAAAATACACAGATGCCAACACTGTAAAATATACATCAAATGGCTAGCCTGGTGCACGTGTGTCACAGACAGAATGCATGACAGCACGCTGATTGGAGCTGATGAATAACCTCTGGAACTTCACCGCTCTAATTCTGATCATTATTAATGAATAGAGTGAGGGATCTATTTCTTTCTAGTCTGACTTCTTTCTTTTTGAGGAGATCCTCACCCCAAGATCAGTGCAACTGGAACACTATCGAGCAGAGATTTGGAAAACCCAGTCTCTGCCATTCTGTTTCTAAAACAGCAACCATAGATAAGTTTGCTTAGCAGAAAGGCCCAGGGAAGACTTCCTTCCAGGTAAATGGAATCTAGAATAAAAATAGAGCTGGAAGGGACCTTGGAGGTCTTCTAGTCCAGCCCCCTGCTCAAGCAGGAGGACCTATACCAGGGGTAGGCAACCGTGGCTCTTTTATGACTTGTGGACTTCA